ATGCGGCTTGCCTCCCCTTCGTGACCTCAAGCCGTCCAATGAGACGCCCGCTTCAATAGACTAGCCTCATTAGTAGGTTGGCCTCAACCAGTCTGGGCGGACCTCAATGCGGTGGCTGCCGCTTGACATCACTTTGGGCTACGCCGCTCCAGCGGGGGGATGTGCGCTCTGGCAATTAAAAACTCGTCCTACCTATTCTCCTTTCCGTCTGTACAGAATACACTCGTCTTATAACTCTGGCCTTCTCAAGACTTCTCTCTCTTTTCTCAAGGAACTGAGCCTGGAAGATCGCAGCCGTTAGGGTTAACCTTAATAACCTTAACGCAACACGATAGCCGCTTGGGTACTCGGTGGTCGTCCATCCGCAACAGGGGCTGCTTCATCGCAGTTGAAATTGTTTCAGCATGGCGTGGATGCTGAGGATTCCCTACCTCTCTAGGACTTCCATGTCCGGGATCCTGTCTTGCCATCCCAGCTTGTGTATTCGGCGTAGGCAAATAAAATTGAAATAGCTCAGTTTCCGAGCTTGATTGATGTAGATAGTCCGGGTCTCCGCTCCGTAGAAGAGTGTCGTGAGGACGATGGCCTTCAATATCTTCAATTTGGTGGACAGTTGGAGACCATAACGGTTCCACAAAGTCTTGATGTCGATTCTGGTGTTACGAGATAGCGTGCTGCCAAGATAGGCGAAATTGTCCACATTTTTGAGCCCGGTGTCGTTGATATCGATCCATGGAGCATTATACTCAATACCAGGTGACGAACGATGCATGACAAACATTTTCCCGTGTTGATGGCACAGTAGATTCCCTATCTTATGAAACGTCACCCGGAATTCTTATATGCGTTTTCGATTCAAACATATCAATTACGTATGGTTTTAAAAATGACGATCGTACAGCCTAATCTTAATACATTTTGGTCACATCTGGATGCCGGCTTTTTAATGAGCTTCTTTCTGACCGCTAAGTAAAAGTATGTAATATAAAAAGTAACGACTAAAGTAGTATGCCTTTTTGTCACTGATTTTGACTGCATTTGTATATTCAAGTACATTTTTTGGAAAACATGCAGGAAAATAATTATTTCTTGTACTCTATTGGTAGCAAATTACGCCTTCTTTAAATTTTATACATAAAGAAAGTATATCTTTCGGTTTTAAAAAAGTTTCTAAATTGCCGAATAATTTTGCAACCTACTGACTGCTATACTCGAATTCAAGGTTTACAAACTGCGCACTGTGTACATCCTGTTTAAGGAAAAGTACTTTTTCGCCTATAGTTTGAGGAAGATCTCACAAAGTTCTCATTAAATTTTGCAATAGATATGTAGCATGCGTTATACAGAAAATGCAGCATTAACAGATTGACGGACACGATGTTCTATGAATGAACACCTGAAAATTGTAAAAAAGCTCATAATAAGAATTTTTTAAAAACTGATGCACTTTCTTCAAGTATAAAATTTAAAGAAGGCGTAATTTGCTACCAATAGAGTACAAGAAATAATTATTTTCCTGCATGTTTTCCAAAAAATGTACTTGAATATACAAATGCAGTCAAAATCAGTGACAAAAAGGCATACTACTTCAGTCGCTACTTTTTATATTACATAATTTTACTTAGCGGTCAGAAAGAAGCTCGTTAAAAAGCCGGCATCCAGATGTGACCAAAATATATTAAGATTAGGCTGTACGATCGTTATTTTTAAAATCACACGTAATTGATATGTTTGAATCGAAAACGCATATAAGAATTCCGGTTGATGTTTCATGAGGCAGGGAATCTACTGTAAGTCCGAAATTTGCGCTGCCGGCGGTGAAGACTTCCATTCTCCATAGCATGTCTACTTCCCTTGTAGTGTCGAGCGCCCAGTCGTCAGCGAAAAGCAGGTCTTGGACTATGATGGTGGAAACGCGCGTGGGGGCCTGCATACCTCGGATATTGCGGAGGTGCCGGTCCCTTCTGTAGTTGACGCGGCTTCCAGGGGGTTCGTCAGGGTAGGCACCCATCAGCGTGGCAAAGGGCATGAGAATGAAGCGGGTAGCCGCGAGGACGCAGTCCTGCCTCCCTGTGAAGCCTTAGGAAACTGTCCCACTGTCCATGACGCGCGCTATTATCCCATCATGGAGCTGACATAACATGTGGATGAAATGCTCAGAACAGCCGAATTTTCGCATGACTTTCCACAGACCCTCACGATTCATTATGTCGAATGCTTTCTTCAGGTTCAGGAAGGTGATGAAGAGGTGGGTGCGCATCTCATGGCACTTGTCCTGCAGCTGTCGTGCGGCGAAGATCGTGTCGGTGGTGCCGCGATGACGACCGGCTTCCCGACAGGTATCCTTAGCCTAGGTATTTTTTGAGGTGGCTTAGGAGAACATGAGCGACAATACTTCCGACGATATCGAGCAGCGAAATTCCACGGTGATTGGCACAAAGTTAGCGGTTTCCCTTTCGCTTGTAGAGGTGAACAATTATGGCGTCCCTGAAGTCCTTTCCGTTGGCATCACATCTCCTGGAAGAGAATGATGAGGTGATTCATAACTTGGTGGCCATCGTATTTGTAAATCTTAGTAGAGATCACGTCTGGTCCATTGTGATTTACCGTTGGAGAGGTGATGCATGGATCTGATGGTTTCTTGAAGACTAGGTTGGAGATAGAGTTCAGTGTTGTTCTTCAATCGAAGCAGACAGTGGATAGTGGCATCAAGGATGGTAGAGGGACGGTTGAGGATGCTTTGGAAGTGTTCAGCCCAACGCTTAAGGAGTTGTACACTATCGGTTAGTGGGGTAATTCCGTCAGCACTGAGAAGAGGAGAAGTTCCTTTGAATATCGGACCGCAGAGCAGAAGTCCTTCCGTTCATTGCGGCTCACGTAGCCCTTGCGAGTCATCCAGACACCCTGCATTTCCCGTAGCCGCCGTTGCACTATACGAAGACTTTGGTAGAAGGCTGCGGTCAATGTAGGCTTTGTGCAGGCGGTTCTTCTCGGCGAGCAGATTTCTGATGACTGTATCCTTTTCGTCAACCCAGTCCTGATGTTGACGGCCTGCGCCTGTAAAGGCACTTGTTGCGGTGGATTGGACTGTGTCCCTCAATTGGCACCATCAGTTCTCCATGGAGGCGTTCTCCTCTGCGACTGGAAAATTGTCTAGCCGTTGAGCCAGCTTGCTTCTGATATGCAGATGGTTAGCAGAACAGTTTAACAAAACAATATTAACCTTACCTGGGG